TCGGGCGAATGCGACGACCAGGCAGGCGCTGTAGTGCGCTGGGGACAGCGCTGCACAGCGACCAGACAGCGGCAACTAGGTGCTTCCAGCTACTTACAGTACAGTGCAGTGGGGTCGAAAGCCAAATGGTGTTAGTGTGTAAGAGAAGCTCAATGGGCTTCTTTTTATTTTGGCGCGTGATATAATAAGAAAAGAAAAAGGAGTAAAAGGGGTGATGAAAATGTGCTGGTAAGAAGCTACTACGAATGAGATGTTGGAAAAGGGAGAGCTGATGCCCACGCGCGCAGAGCTGCGACTGTGGATGGCAAAAAGGTTGACAACCTATTGTATGAGCAGCTGATGTGTAACTGCAGCTCGTTGCCGTGCTGGACACTCAGTCAGGTCAGGCCCCCGGCGTTGTGGGAAACAGGTAAGCACCGAATCTAGTATGGGCGGGCTGTGCTGTGGCTCTTCAATGAATTTACAGGAAATAAAAGGGGAAAGAAGTACAACTTGTAGGATTGTATCACACCTTTACCGGATATCGGCTGGATCTTCTGGGGTTAGAATGGATGAGATGGAGTCTAAATGAGGTAAGACAAGACTTTGGTGCGATGATCTTGGTTGAGAGTGGCATCAATCAGGCTTCGTTTCATAGGGCAGAGCCAATTTGGCAGTTTGATGGCTCATCATGGCAACTGTTAATTGGTCCCATTGCTAGTGACGGTTATTAGTGAACATTCCTGGCTGGCTATGCGGCTATGTTGACAATGGCATCGCCTTGTTGATGGCTGTTCTCTTTCTACTTGACGAACTAACTAGTTGTTATTTGATCGCATAAGGCTGGATGATCGACCTTCATCTCAACGGGCTGTTCTCCAGATTGTCTGTGCCACAGCCACCTCAAATGCGAACCCACGGCCCAGTACTCACCGCATGTACTCTGTACGGTCGGTACGTGTGAATGAGAGAATAAGACGATGAAATCTTGACCGCAAAAGCGAAAATACGGTAATTGACCCCATCATGTCATGTTTCAGAAGGTATCGTATTAAGTTAAGTATACGAGTAAACGAGTATACGAGCATGCTGATATATGTATATCAACCATAATTAGAAGCTCATCGACAAGTCTAAATGTCTCGTGCTCTGTATTCGATACTCGTTTTAGTTGCTTCCGCGTATTCGGGACGCGTTGCTTTTGGAGCCAAGCCTCCAGGAACTGCACTAAGACAACCACATTCGAACATCTGCACATATAACGTCGGGTCTGGCCCATGAACGAGGGGATTAAAAAAAAATGATGAGAGAGTTACATCGAATGCATCCCAAGTGAGACAAGTATGCGAGAACCAGCAGCTAAACGACGCAGACTCACTCTTGCATTTCACATGCTGGGCTTACGTCGTTGACTTTCCAAGACGGGCCGGGATTAGCAGCTTCTTAACCAGGCATGGTTTTGGTTTTTTTGGAGAGGAAACTCGGTGCCTTGCACTATCGAGATGCACGACGTCAGATCAGCAGGTATCAACAAGTAACATCACAAGTGTGTATGTAAGTCTGTGTTGTTCTGTCAAATAGATAGCGTTTTTGATCGGCTGTATCATGATGACGCGTTGTTCAGACAAAGAACTAACTTTGACGTTTTCAGAGTTAAATGCTGACAAGATTTGAAGATGCTACCTAATAATTAGAGCTTACGAACTGATAATTTGACCTATATCCAATCACTCACTAAATATCAGAATACGCTTTATTATCGGCAACGTTTTGCCTTGATGTCTTTATTCCCTCAGCCACATGGATCCAATGGATGCTTGCTTAGACGACCACAGACTGTCTGTCTGGCTGTCACACGATGCGAAGTGCAGCACTTTGCATATCGCCAAGAATGCAATGCAGTTCCGTGGATCACCTCGTGCCGTTCTTCCAGAGTTTTTTTTCGATGTCTCGCTCGCCAAGATCGCCAAGGCCTGTCATGGGTCTCTATGGCGTTCGGCGTACAGCGAACAAATCGATCCATTTCCGTTCCATCTGTAAATCCCCTCACCCAAACTCCGCCAGACGAAAGGGATAAAAAAAAAGCGCAAAAGAAAAGTTAGTTTAGCGCTCTGTCACTGTGATAGCTTCAAACAATCGGGGTTGTGCTGAACTCCGTTCATCTCATCCTCCGCAATCCGCGGAGCTTTTAAGACTCCGCATCCATGCACCAGAAACAAATCTTGTGTTCGAGAACTTTGAGCTTGTGGAGTCACGTCACTCGAATCGTCGTCTAATTATCCACTTGTGGGCATCCAAACTCCAATCCCGATGCTTCTGACTTTCAGAACTTGGCCTGATACTTTCAAAGAGTGGTCACTCGCAGGTCCACGGACAACATCAAAACCCCGTCGGGCCCGGCTTCTCTCCACCACCGACTCCGACGTCAACATCATCACCTCATCCTTGTCTGTACCTGACAGCGGCACCGAGAGATCTATTCTGAGCCGTCCAACTGCCGTATCGCCGAACTACCGTGGTCCATCTATCCACTTGGCACTTCACATTCACGATTTTGATAGTCACTCCCTCAGGAAGAGTTAGCCTCCACTGTTCAACAGCCGTTGAGCCTCACAATCTGCCCGTCTTGGCTTTTTCTCGTCTTGGTCAGCCTGCCAGCCTAGCCTAGCCCAGTCCAGCCTTACTGGTCTTAGCCGCATTGCACCACCCACCTTGGGCCAACAATCTATTGGGTATCACTATCAATACCATCATCCAACATCCGTTTGTCATCGGCGAGTTCTCTGGTGAGACAACCAAGTTGCCCAGTAATTATCTGGGTCTTTGTCAGACACGGGCCAACTCTTGCTTCTGTCGTTGTCACAAACCCACCGAGGTCCGAGGCTCTGAAATCCAGCCTCCAGCTTGACTTGTTCACGCTTCACACTTCAGCTTTCATCAGCCACAGCTCGCACACCTAGCCAAAGATGAAGTTAGTAGCACGCAATAAGGCCCTCAATGCCTACGCGGAGGAGGCCGTTTCCCTCCTGCCCGAGGATCCCGAAGATATGGTCAGTAGCCCCTGTTCCTGTTGCTTGGTCCCTTCTAAGTTTGTACCCCTGGTCTGCCATACCGTTTTCCCTTTATCGACCCTTTTAGACCCTGCCTCTATTCCTATTGTTACCCCTCCCCCTCCATCGTTGTCACACCCTCCGCGGTCTCTGGCCTTGCTTGACATGCTGCTGTCCAGCATTCACCTTATACCACATGTCTCGCACTTCAAGCCATTATCTGTTCCGAACCCCACCGACGTCACCGCTTGTTCTTATGAGACAGCACGCTAACAATGTTGATAGTGGCATGCATACAACTTGATCCTATCTGGAGACATCGTCCATGCTCACACAATCCGCAAAGTGACTGTTACTTCAGACACTGGGAGCTCGAAATCTGACCGTGTTCACACTAATCTGACTATCAAAGTCAAATCCACCACCTTTGATCCTATCATCTCATCTCTCCGCGTCTCTGGATCCGTCGTTATAGAGAACGCTCATGTCCCCTTAGGCTCTCATCATACCCTCGATCTCGAGGTGAACCGCCCGTTTAGTATCGTCAAGCTAGATGGATGGGACTCTGTCGCAAGAGCCACTCTTCAAGAGGCATTATCAGATGACAAGGATGGTGCCGTAGCAGCCGTTGTCATGCAAGAAGGGCTTGCCAACATCTGTCTCATCACACCGTTCCGGACCGTTCTCAAAGTCCGTGTTGAGAGCGTGATTCCCAAGAAACGCGATCTTGCATCGGATCAAGATGCAGGTATGCGCCGCTTCTTCGAGAAGACATTGTCGACTCTTTTACGAACTATGGACTTCACACAGTCACGGCCGCTGTTACTGGCCAGCCCAGGCTTTGTGGCTGGAGACTTCAAGCAATATATCGCCAACCAAGGACGGGACAAAGCAGACAAGGTGCTTACAGCCGTGGCGAAGCAGGCTACGGTGGTTCACTCCAATTCTGGTCACGTCCACAGTCTCAACGAGATCCTTAAGAGCCCTGAAGTCTTGGCCAAGATGAAGGACATGAAGTTCGCCCGCGAAACGCAGTATGTTGATCAATTCTTCGAGATGCTAAAGCTGGACGATGGGCGTGCATGGTATGGTACTTCAGCTGTCGAGAAGGCTGTCAAAGAGGGAGCCGTGGGACCGGGTGGTGGTGTTCTCCTGGTCAACAATTCTCTGTTCCGAAGTGAAGACCTTGCCCTCCGCAAAAAGTACGTCGCTCTAGTTGACAAGGTACGGAGTGATGGTGGTGAGGCGAGGGTTCTCAGCAGTGATCATGAGAGTGGTCAGCGATTGACTATGTTGGGCGATATCGCTGCCATACTCAACTACCCAATGCTGGACCTTGATGAAGACGATGCTGATGAAGATAATGAGGCAACTGGAGAATCTGCCATTGAAAATAGTGTCATCTAGTCGAACGACTATATAAAAGAAATGAGATACGAATTCATGAGGCTCTGATCCCTTATGCTGTTGTGGTGTTACCCTGTACCGTTACGTGAAACCTGCTCAGATGAAGTCACTCAGTATGCCATAGCTGTACATCTCCAATCTTCACCTGATAACGTGCATAGTTGACCTCTAACATGTTTTACTTCATTGCGTATCTCCCAAGGAAGCCTGAGATCTTGAGGTCGTCGGTTTTCTCGGCGATAAGTAAACAAGATCGACAACAAGGGCACGTAATTATCCCCGCATTTTCACCCAACTGTGAATGTCGAATCAACGCCACGATGATCATCACGATAAGTTCCTAGCGCTTATCTGATCTATAAACGCGAGAGAACGAAATCATGTCGTAAATCCGAACTCCGAACTCCGTATATAAAATATATATATACCCAAACAATTTTGTTGTTGACAAAGTGTTGACGTTGTAGAGCCTGGAACTATTCAAATGATTCATCGTCCTTGTCTCTACCCCTCATCCACAAACATCAACTTAACATCATACAGAAAGTGTTCATGAATTTCAGAATGGCCTCTAAACTCGCTCTCGACTCGACCAGGAAGCTCAATTCAGGCTACCAGATCCCTCTTCTTGGCTATGGAGTAAGTGATCCTTCAATCCTTCGTTTCACACCCTGCTAATGTAACTGCCTAGGTCTACAAGGTGTAAGTCCACGTCATGTTCCGGAGGCATTATGTACTCTAACCACGTCATCCAGTCCCGCTGAACAAGCCCCCGAACTCTGCAAGAAGGCTATCGAGATAGGCTACCGCCATGTGAGTCTATCCAAAGGCTTTGGCGTTCAATGCACAACTAACATACTCAGATCGACTCTGCTTCAGGGTACTACAACCAGGGCCCTAGCGCAGCTGGACTCCTAGCGTCTGGCGTGCCTCGCTCAGAGCTCTTCTTCACTACCAAGATCTTCACCAGACAGTTTCCCTTGAACTACGAGAATGCACACAAGCAGGTAGACATTGCTCTCGATGAGACGAAGCTCGATTATCTTGACCTTGTTCTCATTCATGCCCCGTATGGTGGACCTGATGCCCGAAAGGGTGCTTGGAGAGCTCTCGCTGAGTGCGTCGAAGCTGGCAAGGTGCGATCTCTCGGTGTTTCCAACTACGGTGTTCATCATCTAGAGGAACTAGAGGCATACATTAAAGAACTTGATGCCGAGCTTGGACCGGGTAAGGGAGGCGTCATCTCGGTCGGGCAGTGGGAGGTGCACCCGTGGCTTACACGCCCCGACATCGTTAAGTGGTGCCAGGACCGAAACATTGCAGTTGAGGCTTACTGCCCCATTGTTCGTGGTGAGCGATTTGATGACCCCAAGGTCAAGGCCCTTGCGGACAAGTATGGTAAGAGTCCAGCACAGGTTCTTCTTCGGTGGAGCTTGCAGAGGGGTTATGTTCCTCTGGTGAAGAGCGTAACACCCTCAAGGATTCTGGAGAATGCTCAATTGTTCGACTTTGAGTTGACGGAGGAGGAAGTGAAAGATTTGACAACTGATGAGTATAGCCCTTGTGCCTGGGACCCTACTCGTGAACCTCTTGAGAAATAGATATCACGAGAAAGAACATAAAAGGGACGCCAATAGAATCACTACATTTCAAGAGTCTGAGAAGTCCATTGTCCATAATTCAACGGGTCTCGCTGTCTTGCGAGTATTGATGCTTGTCATTCTGTTATTGTTAATGGGCCCACGTGATCTCGTTTCCACCTCGTGTCAGTCCCCTCCCCCACGCGTTCCATGTCATTCCCAACTCAATCATAGCCACCAACCTCATCACACAACATCCGCCTGTCGTGCAAGCTGGCCAAATGTCGTCTCCAAGTTCAACATGGGCCAGCGAACGTTCACGGTCATCCCGAAATTCCCGGGTCGTGCGGATTCTCCCGACAAACCACCCCTACGGCCCATGACCTCAAAACAAGTCCGGAACGCCTACAAAGCAGCCAATAAGGGCCCTAAACTCACACGGGAAGAATCCAGGAGACAGGAAAAGGCTGAGCAGGAAAGAATCAGAAAGGAATTCGAACGGGAGAAGGCGGCTGCCAAGGCAAAAGTTGCCAGGGACAAGAAGAAAGAGAAAGAGTTGGCGGAGAAAGACGCGAAGCGAAAGAAAGGATTGCCTTTAGTGAATGTTCGACCTAGTCAAGAAACGATTTCATGGTTTGTGAGAGGGAATGGTACTTCAAAGAAGAGAGATGCCTATGGTAACGACATTAAAGACGACAATCTGATGGCGAATGAGAGTAATACGGACACAAATGAAGCGTTGACAAGCGAAGAACAACCACAACAACCAGCAACCAAGGCGCAGAAGCTTGACGACATACAGGAAGGCGATGAGGAAATTTCCGATGCTGCTATGGAAACCATTGTCGAGGACCTACCAAAACCGTCGCGGGAATCACCAAAGCCTCAATCACCTGGGGGTAAGAAAGAGATAATCTCAGAACCTACAGAACAAAGGGCAGCCCTTGTTGCATCGGAGTCGGCACTAGAACAACCACCAAAACCCGAGATAGAGCTAGGAGGATTGGAGGACGAATTAGATGCGGATTTTGAGGAAGATCTGGCCCTGGGAATTCTTGAGGATATTGAAGCAGCTATGAGCAACCCAAAATCCAACATGAACCACGGAGTCCAAAAGATCTGCAACCAAATACCAGAAGAAGCACTTGCCACGATGAAGCAACCACTGGAAGTCACTAGGAACGACGTCCCAAATCGCATTGCAGAAGATTTGGGCTTAAAGCGACCTGCTGCTCCAGTCTCCTTTGCCAAGCCGCCTCTTCCACAACGGAATCTGGAACCACGATCACCAAGCCCACCACACCAAGAGCCACCCTTGAGCACGCAAGCGATTCTCTTTAACCTAGATGATTTCTTCCCTTCATCATCTCAACAAGTCCGAGAACTTGAGGAAGAGCTAGACGAGGGCATAATGCCATCCGCTCCTTTACACTTGACTCCTATTGCAGAAGAAGAGGAAGAGGAATCTTTCGATGAAGGACTAGAGAAATCCTCAGACCAGCCCCTCTTACCAGCACTTGAACCTGCCTCGGACTCGCCACCACCACCACCAAGACGCTTCTTCACGTCTTCTGGCTCACACGAAAGAATGTGTCTAGCTATTCAGAGAAGTCGTCGTACAGCTGCGCTTGAGAAGATCCAGCAACGCGAGCGAGCTCGCATGCAGGCTGGTATGATAGAGCAAGCTCAAGCAGAGTCTCGCAGAATTTGCAAACCGCGTGAACCTACGAGAAAACCACCATTGTTTCCCAACCCCCCTCCACGTGCAGCTCAATGCAACCAACCACGAAAACCTCCATTTAAGGCACCACCAACACTGCAGAAAACACCACACACCAGTACGACGGCTTCCACAAAGCGGACTGAGCCTCAACTATCTAAACAACCTCCTAAGAAACCCTCATCTAGACTATCCAACAACCCTAACATTATGAACCCTCGGATTCCACCAAAACGAATAGAGACTCCGAAACAACACACATCACCGCTACCGCAAGAAAGCAAAGAGAACCAGAAGCCGCTACAACAGCCTTTTGCACTTAGTGCTTCGCAAGAGTCATATGGCGGCGAATGGGTTGACGATTTGGACCTAGACCTCATGATATAACGATAAACATGTATATTGGATGACGACTACCGAAATGGCCGAATTGCACAACACTGGGAGGAATTACAGCTTGGCATGGGACCGCACGATAGGTCGGAGTTAAGGGCATCATATCACCCCTTTGTACGGGTGCTGGGTGGCAAATTATGCATATTTTTCTCATGACATAGCGACGGCGTTTAGAATATTATCCTGTTTTATTTGAGAAGATTACCTTGGTCTAAGGATTAGTGACGCTCTCGGACCAAGCTATCCTTACTTTCAACCCCTTATCCTCACCATGAAATCACATATATGAACGCTGTACCGTAAGAAAAAACAAGCCCTGCAGACTTCAGGGGGAAAAGTGTCTGATAAGATACAATCCTTAACGCCAATGCTATGCTCGCAGTACCCCTATCGTCATTCATGACTTCGTTGCCACCAACTCCCAGGGCCGACCACGAGTGAAGTTCGTCTCAGGCCAGCAAATCAAAGGAAGATTCCAACCCACTCTGACTTTTGCGATACCTTGCTATCACAACCGTCCACCGCGCATCGGAGGTCATTCGAAGCCGCGAGCACAGGTCGCCCATCAGGGGATCGGAAGCCTACGCCATCACGGTTCGCCTTCGTAGGCTTCCTGTTCTCATAACAATCGGCACAGTAGACCTGTATATGTTAGTTTCTTGTAGCAATTCACATTTCCAATGTGAAACTTACGTGTCCGCACTTCTTGACGGCCCAGAAGTGGTGTTCTCCTGGTGCCCGTTTTCGCTTGCCCTTCTGCTGGCCCACAGAGCTCTGAGTCACTGTGCCGCTTGGGTCATAAGCCAGCTCCTCATTACAGGCTGGGCATATAACCACGCTTTCAGACTCCTTCTCCGGGTCGGTGCAGGTATTGCGAGTGAACCCTTCTCGCGTTGGGGGCGGCGGGGACATTTGTGGCTTCGGGGTCGGTTGTCGTGCGAATGCGTTGCGTGAAATGTCTAGATTTGGTGGGTTGAAGGCTATGTCTGCTGCCCCAAAGATACCAGCCAATCTCCTGAAGGGGCCAAAGGCGGCAAAGTTTGGTAGAGACCCCAGAGCTGGTCGCTGGCTTATTATTTCCAGCTCAATCAGTTCGTCTGGCCTCGGTACCTCGCGTCTCCCTCTGAAGTGTGACCGGTCTTCCTCAGGTGAGTCCGCAGTTAAGTCAATAACATTTTCTGCACGTCCCACGAAAGTACCATCGGTGCGTGCTAACTGAGGCGGTGATATGCGCTGGGAGTTCGTTCGACGCGGGTTCCTTGCAGGTGGTCTCGCGGGCTGGAGGATGTCAAGAATAGCTCGGGATTGTACAGGAGAATCAGGCTCTTCCGTGAGGTCGATCACAGGGGTAGCTTCTTGCGGTTGTTGTTCTAATACTGGATTTCGAGCAGCTTGTGAGCGGCGAGCGTGGCGGGTGTTATGATACGCAGCTGGTGCGTGGGGATGTGGAAGAAATAGGTGATCTCCAGCATTTGGCCGTGGTCTGTAGACATTTTCGAAAAAGGGGTCGATATCTTCATGCCCTCCCACCTCAAACATCTCAAGAGGATCACTGTTTTCAGCCATGTTGTGTAGGTGGTGTAAGACTTGGACTGCGAGGTATCGAGGTCTAGGCGGTTATAATTGGAGATATAGTGTGTTCTCTCTTATCGTATTCACGGCACAAAGCCTCTTGAGCATCCTCCGAGGCAGTGAACACTTATACAGTGAATGGCCGCCCAGGGCGAAGCAGATGAAAAGTGTGGCGATTGGCAGGTAGAGAAAGCTAAGCAAATGCGCTATGGCAGCAAGACTGAATTAGATGATGAGACATAGAATTATGCTCAGAGGAGTCGTAAGCGTCTGTATCGTATCGTATCGGTTCGTTGGGGGGTGTCGTGGGGGAGGCGAAGGTTGTTGGTAAGCATCAAAGTTAGTTGTATGAAAGGAAGTTGAAATTGAATGTCGCTACTGTGACGATCGATGCAAGGCTGCTCCCCATGTGACGACAGGACTCTAGCGCATAGAGACCCTGCACTGGCGAACACTGTTTACCCCGCTAAGTGGCCACTAAGAATAGGCTTCAAGGCTTCACTACAAGGGGTTACTATCGCCTGGCTCCACTGTCGATAGGTACCTTGTTGTATTGAAGCCCATGATGGGTTTTCGTGATGATTGTTTTGTTGTTGTTTTTGGAGTATCAACAGGTAAACAATACACCAGCCTCCAGGAGCAAGAAGACTTCTTGTATTTGGTAAAGGCCCCAAAAACAACCACTTAACCCAAAAACTTAAAAAGGCCATGTCAAGTTTACCTGGCACTTTTTTGTCACTTGCAATATTGCTAAGTTTTGCCTCCCATTTCAATACTCAAAAACCAGAACCATAATTATCAATTTTCAAACACCAACCTCTGTGCTTTGCTTTGACCCTTTATTCGGGCGTATAATACAAATTATCAACGAAATCCCTTCTAAACCCCAGTCTATTCCTTTGTTGCAAGTACGCTGACCACACCCTCGCCATTGACTGTTACGAGCTGCTTTGCAGACTCTCCCCACCGAACAGCAACAGAGGGTGTAGAACTCTTCAAAGGCTCGGTCCACTTCTTGCTGGACTTTGTGAACTGTTGCACTGTGATTCCAGCCGCACCGCCAGTGGCGAGGAACTGGCCACTGTAGTCCCACGCCAGGGACTGGACCGGCCCGCCAGTCTCAAGAACCTTGGCCACCGCCGCGTCTCCCTCTTTGCGCAGATCAAAGATAGTGACCATGGTCTGGCCCTTGGCTGTAGCTGCGAACCAGTAGCCGTTCTCGGAGAAGCGGAGAGCCTGGATAGGAGCGCCCAGGCTGAAAGAAGCTGCCTGCTCAAGAGTGTTGGTCATGAAGAGCTTGATTTCGCCTGATGTGGTACCGGCGGCAAAGAGG